GAGAGAGAGAGAGAGAGCATAAGAGAGAGTACTCGAGAGAGCGCAGAGTGAGTGCCAGCGAAGCGCTCATACATTTCCACTCGTTATATACAGCGCTTCTCTATGCCTTTTTTCATGGCACTGGTAGCTGGCAATCGCGCTGTTAGCATAGCATTCGGATATATATATAATATTTACCCAATAGTTGTGCGGAAACCTTGAGAGCGTTCATCGGCCTAAACGCGTTGCCAATAATACATTTCAAGGGCAACCATGCATTTGTCTGGTTACCATGGTCACCTCAAGGCGAACGAACTCATCCTTATGCCGTTCCCTACCGTTCCCCTCCCCCTTGACATTCACATTCACTCTCTCTCTCTCTCTCCCCATCCGATACAACCATTTTTTTCTCTCCCAGTTTTCACTCTCCATATCCTTTTTTCAGCCGTATTTCCACTGAAAGAAAATAAAAGTTTTTTTTATTATATCTTTATATATATATTATTAGACATGTCTTTATTGTTAGCGAATATTCTTATGTGTAGTCTATATATTGTAGGAATTCTTTGTAGTGTGTTATTTATGGTGCAGCTAGGACACCTTAGCTTACTTTCGCTTTTCCCCAATATGTAGTCTACTTTTCTCTCTACCATTCCCTTTATGACATCCCTGTCCTCTCTTAACACACATCTCTCTTAGGCAGCTCTCTCTCTCTCTCGCAGACTATGTAATTGTATCCACAAATCAATGCCTTGAGTACTACTGACTGCTGCCATACATCCCAAACGCCATACTATTTTCAATGGCAATGATATTTGTGTCAAATATCTCTATAATAACGGCTATAAAGGAGTTGCCGATTGTGAAACGGACAGTGCGTTTAGACATTAGACGTGCCAATTATATGTGCCGTAAATATATTCAGCACCGCATATAATATTTATTGTATAATAACAGCCCTTTATATCCCTGTTCACTGACATACAGTTTATTATTATTATCATACGTACAGACATTCGCAGACAAAAACACATACAAATGCCTTGAATTCATAATTAAGGATATATTCTGCGATGAGTTTAATATTATCTCCAATTTTTATGTGCCTTTCATTTTCATTAGCAGTATATCAGTAGTACTACTCGTGTGTATGTGTGTCTTTCCCTTTTCCCTCCCATTCCACTTAAAATTATTTTAATTCTCGCTGTAATGTGTCTGAAAAGCAAAAGCTATCGTTCCTCCCGTTCCCCATACTCTCGAATCTTAACGAATATTTTCGTTATATTTAATGGCAGTATAAATATATTACACATTAAAGTACAGGTGAGAGCGAGAATATGGCTATTAGGGTACCAGCCCTTCCAGCTACCCTATCCCCTCTACCTCCTAATATGTAGTGAATATTAAGATTTATTTTTGATGTAGTTTCCCCCGGTTGATTTTACTACCCTCCCCCTCACCTCTGATAACTGTCTGTGTATATATCCATTAATATACTGAGAATTACATTATAGTGTATAGTGTACTGACATATCGTGTATATATTAATGGCAGAGATTATTATTTATGAAATAGTGTAGTGTTTTTAAACGCACACAAAAAAAGCAAAATTTATATGAAATATTTATAAATACTTTTTTAATAAATCTATATTTAATCTCTCGTATAAACTATACATGTATGTATAATCTAAACATCCCCTCCCTATCGCTTAATTATCATTTTTTTCAGGACCCGGAGCATAGTGTGTTTGGGGAAAATTTTGTATTTATATATTTTATCGAAAATATATATATTTTAGTTTAAATTTAATTCCGAGAATCGATTTTATTTTTTATATGTTTTTATTACAGTGGAAAATATTTTTATTTGTGGTTACAGTATGGTATTGACATTGATTTTGATTATACAATACAAACAGACATATCAGTGCTCTTTCACTACCAAAAACGGAAGTCCGACTCCAGTACTAGTGGTGGTAATGAATGCATAGATAGATAGAGGGATAGGGAGGACAGGGAGAGTGAGAGAGAGAGAGAGAGAGTATGTGTGTTATGTGTACGAACAGGATATGTGTGCCTATTCTGTGGGTAAATGGTATATAATACAAGCGTATTCGTAACATGTTATGTAAGCCTAGATCCCGGTGCGACACCTATGAGTGCCTAACACTTACTATGTATTGAAAAATTCATTTCAATTTGTTATCAGATTTTTTCCACTCATTATCCAAAAAATATTTTTATACTTTTCATTGGAAAGTGAAGTATAAAAAAAAGTTTCGAAATAGTTTTGTTGCCTCTAATAAAAAACTTTCTATAAATATCTATATCTCTCTATTTGTCATATTATATTGGGATGACAAGAGCGCCGGGAGTTTATTTATATATCCATCGAGATAGCAGTCTATGGGTTTTTGACAAATAATTTTGCGATTTTTATTATTATAATAATTTTTGATAGAGAAATGGAAAAGTTTTTTGAACTATTTATTTAATAAAAATTGTAATTTTCATAATAATCGTAAATATATTTGTTGTATTCAGTCGGATATCGCATACATCACAACAAGCCTATAAATAATGGACTTTTTAAACCGAAAAATATTATCGTTAAATAATAACAAAAACAATAATTTTTGCCCAAAAAAGTCTGTTTTCCACTCCTTTTCGGAAAGCGATTGAAATAAATTATGGGATGAAAAACAAAACATGTTTTAATTACTTTATCTATTTATATAAGGTATATACGATATGAAATAGCATTTGGTTTTTTAATACCATTAAAAATGGTTTGCAAAACCCGTAAGCAATGGGTCTCTCACTCCCGAGATATGAGATATGAAAACCATTTTCGGTATAAAAAATACAATATTATTATATGAATAATATTTTTTGTTTGCTAAACATAACTCTTATGTAATGTATTTTTCGCATCAAAAAGTGAAAGTCAGAGATAATATCAATGGATGGGAGAAAAGAGAGAGAGAGTATTGCCTCTAATGAATAGAAAAATAATAAAAAGTATCCGAAAAAAGAGTTATAAATAATATATAAAAAGCACTTTTCCACTGAAAAACAGCCACTAGTTTCTCATTACACACACCACACAAAGACCTAGAATTTAATACTCAATGGTTTGTTGAAAAGGGTTTTTTGTGGGGAAAAGCAACTCATTTTCATTATTCAATAATAAATTAGTGTATTTAAGGCAAACAATTTCCACACAACTCATGAGTTGTTGTTTTATATGTAGTTTTTTATTTCATGGCATTGAATCCGATTAATGACACCGAAGTATATATAATATATAAAACCAAAAATATATTTTTCAATTTTTTATTATTTTTTTCGTAACCTTTTTTCTCTATCCACTCTCGACTCCCAGTCTCTTATGTATGCAAAACACACGAAAACTTATATATAGTTATGTAATAGAAAAATAAATTTTAAAAACTATTTTGCACACACCAGAAAAAATTAATTATATATGCGTATAGCGCGGCAAAAAATATATTTTTAACCCATACCTACCATATATTATATACCATACCCCGTGAGATACACTACCACTACGTATATACTGTACTGAATCCAAAAAAAGTGTGCCTAATGTTGAGGTTACAAATAGTTTTGCACTCAGTTTTGTTTGTTTCATAAGTAATTTAAAGCGAAATTTTTTGCCAAAGATTACAATCGCAAGAATTTCGCTGCAAAATATAAAAATAATAATAAATTTTTATTACTTTTTATTTCGTTTCATAACAATAATAGCCGCGAAATGCTTGCCACACAAAACGAGTTGAACTAACTTTTCAGTCCATCATATGATTAACGCAAACGAGAGACACAAACAAAATCAAAATAATATGCGATTTGCGGCTAAATATAGTCGCAAACAAAAAATGTTTGAAACAAAATTAAACTTTCAATTTTACTAAATTAATGGCAAAACATATTTACTCTAAAAATACAGTATATTCTGTTAATTATTAACGCAAAGAATATTCTGCAACAGAATATTCTGTACACTAATCGCACGAATCATTAAACTTAATGCACTTCTCTATATAAACACACAAATAGACGGCTCATCTCAAGCGCCGACAGCACCGCAAGCGACCGGCGCTCAAACGGCCGGCCCCGTCATAAAGCAGGAGCTGCCCTCCCATCACCACCAGTCCCACTATCAGCCACCACAGCAGGCGCCACCACACCATCACCAGCCCTCCCATAACCACCACATCTACCATTCGCTCGAATCTCCGACCACTACCACGACGAGCAACGGCTCGGCCATCGCCACCTCCACTTCCCCGCCAACTTCCAGCACAACCACATCGCAGCAACACCTGCACACATCGCACCCGCACCTGTCGGCTACGCTCACGAACGGCGCTCAACAGCAACAGGCGGTCACCAATGGCCAGGCAGTGGTGGCCACCGCACAGGGAGGTCAGACCAGAATCAAATTGGAGAATGGTATGGGCGCCGCCAGTTTCTATAGTAACCATTACTCCGGTCCAGATCACAAAGGTATGCTGTGACTCTACCCCTGTTCCCATTAATAGCCATTCCCCTCCTAATAGCATGTGTAGCACACACTTGCAGTTCATTTGCAGAATTACTTTACTTTATAGAATATTCTTGAGAATAATTTTTAATATATTGGTTTAATTGTGTCGATACTAATAAAATACAGAATATTCTTGATATTCATACGAAATTTTGTTGTTTTTATGTTTGATAACTAATTATTGCGATTGTTTATTACGATAGATATACCTGTCGTAAGCGCCGGTATGGGTATGGCGGAGGACCTGTCGTATCACACGAACGGACTCACGAATGGTGGGGTCGTTAAGAGGAAAAAGGGTCGCAAACCCAAGAATTTGGAGAATATAAACGGAAACACAAATCATTGCTCGACCGCTACTAAAAGGAAAAGTAGAGAAGGTATGTATCGGGGCGGGTATTGCACCGGGCATTTCAGGGCACCGGGACCTCTAGGGCTTATCATAACGATTAATATGTACGACATGTTTTAGTAGTGGGTTAGGTTAGTGATGGATAGGGAGTATAGCCCCACAGACGAGTGTGTATTTAGTTTAACATATCTATTGAATAATCTATTTCTTGGAAATGAGTTTTCATTTGTAATTCAAAATAGTTGTCTGTATTTGCGTTTCGCTGGAAATACGCCTAAAAATCACTTTTTTCAGGGGATTATACCTAAGATTACATAATAGAGTACCGCCCGCTACGGGCACCTGAAAATTAAAATGCCTGTCCCTTTAAAGCCCAAACATGTCATAGCTATGATAATTAATAGCGACTATAAACATAAACTATTTGTACTTAGTTAAGTCAAAAAACAAACATGCCTAGTTAATGTCATTGAAAATTAATGCATACAAAAAATTAGTACAATATTTTTGCTATATGTCCACCAAATAACACTTTCCCCACAAAAATACACAAATCTTATGATTCATTCAATTATTGTTTTTTGTTATTATTAATGCAAAAATAACACATATTTTTGTGTCATTTTTTCAGGTTCGACGACATATTTGTGGGAATTTTTGTTGAAATTACTTCAGGATAAGGAGTATTGTCCGCGTTTTATTAAGTGGACAAATAGGGAAAAGGGTATGTATTATGTTTTTTCCATAGGCTACTGGCGCTAAACAACACACCATTTCGCAGTCATAAGTGTCACGCCGAAAGTCACCCCTAGGAATGACATGTTGTTTGAAAAAATTTGTTACGAAAAACTGATTTTAAATTTTCGTTTCACTTTCACTGCCTCTCTCTCTCTCTCTCTCTCTCGTAATTGAATTTCTCTGGTCTTCAGTCATAAAGATTGAGACAAATTTGGTTTAAAGACTGTTATTATAAGTGTATTATTGGTTCAGTTGTTAAGCAATTAATTCTGAGATTTTTCTGTTGAGAGAGAGAGAGAGAGAGAGAGTCCGAAACAAGTTCTCTCTCACTGACTATAAATCCTTTTTTAGTATAAATCAAAACCACCGAAAAAACATATATATTAAAAACAAAGTGTATTTCTATTACTTTATACAGTATATGGCATTGAAAAAGTGCATAGGGGGGAAATTCCCATCCAATAACCCTTTCCCGATATGACTTCCCTTGACTTATACGGCTCAGACACTTATTATGAAATGTGTTTTTGGCTCTCAGGAGTTATTTAATGTGTTTTCGAAAACACAAAATTAATTAAACGCAAAATTTTTTCATGCTAACATTTTTTTTGTTTTTTGTGTGTTTTTTAAACGCAAACACAAACTGTTTTTTAGGTATATTTAAATTGGTTGATTCAAAAGCCGTCTCACGTTTATGGGGTTTACATAAAAACAAGCCTGATATGAATTACGAAACTATGGGTAGAGCACTCAGGTATGTATCGCACTGCCAGTCCCCCCCCCCTTATCCATATACATACACCTAATCGCTTAGGCTATGTGTTTGCGATTTGATTTGATGTGACATTTCATCCATCAGTTTCTGACACCAATATTCTGGTGTCTTATGGGGAGTATAGCCTTAAATCACATCACCTATTAAAGGGTCGGTATGTTTATCGCCGACACCCCTCGGGGCGCTCCGGTATCCGAGTTACTGGACTTTTAACATTGAAAACGCAAGGCTTTCAATTAAATGTCAATCAAAATCTCGGATTGAATGATAAATAAAAGCATTAAAATAAATTGCATTCAAAATAAAAAACACATTTAATATGGAAAACAAAAAACTACAGAATATTCTCGTTAGCGATAAAAAACCATTTTCATTATGAATACACAGAATATTGAGTAAAAGCCAATAAAAATAAACATATATTTAGTACAAGAATCCGCAAAACAATCGCTAATTGGGTTTAAATTGAAAAGGTTTGCCGCAAACCTAATCGCAAACACACTTAGGCCTACCTATGCCTACCGCTCCCACACTCTCCCATCTATATATTTGATACCGATTATTGACTGATTACTAATGACATCCCGGTGCTCTCTCTATCACCCACTCGCCTACAGGTACTATTATCAACGGGGTATATTGGCTAAGGTTGATGGACAGCGACTGGTGTATCAGTTTGTTGACGTTCCCAAAGACATCATCGAAATCAACGCCGACTCTAATAATTGTTATAATAGTAAAGGTATGTATAGCCTATTCGGATAGGCATAACAAAAACAAACACATACGACTACCTGCCCCCTCAGCACCCGGTGCTATGCCAGGAGTTTATTTAATTAAAAAAGCAAACAAAACGATTTTTATATTAAATTTAAATTAACTTTTTTATTTATTATGTTGTCGTAAGCGTACGAATAGCACTCATAATATTGTTTTTTTCTCTGTATTATATATATTATTTGCCTCCCTTTCCACTCGTCTATACAAAACTCATACACACTTCGCCTACAATCGGCTAAATTTTGTAATTATTATTTCTCCGCATCCCTTGCCATCCGGTGCTGTTTGTTATCATACAATCGGATTGTGTCTTATATTCTGTGTGCTATACATGTCTTATAATATTGTTATTATATTTTGGATGAACACAAAACTTCTTTGCATTTAATATCATATCATATGTCATATATTCGTTGCACGACTTGTTATGCCAATCGACTAATTGTTATATTTTGTTGTGTCTGTCGCTCACTACTACCACTACTACCTGTGCTGTTGAACACTCTACCTGTCCCTTCGCACCTGTATTTGTTGCACTTTATATCGAAGACTATTTCGAAGATATATGTCTCAACTCAAGCATTTGAAACACTCGTAAAAAGCATTTTTTTGTTGCCTTTTGTATTATTTATCACAAAAAATAAGTTTTTATTTTATTTTGTCTCTATTTATATGTTTTTGTTATACTGTTTGTTGTTTATAATACTTTTCATTGTATTGTATTGTTTTGTCGGCAAAACTACAGCAAAAATAATTTTTTCCCAAAAAAAAACTACTGTTTTTCACTGCACTTTAAAACAACTTATTTTTTGTCAATAATTCTTATGTTTTCTTATTTTTGTGTCTCTTTTTTGTTATGCATTTTGCAGTCAATTATAATCCATTAGACTGTGTTGTATAGTGAAAAGTGTAAGAATTTTTTGATTTTTATTTATCCATACACATTTTCGCAATTATTTTTCAATCACACACTTCACTATAATGCATGTGTTTTTTGTCCCATTGTCTGCCAACTTTTCACACCTTTTTGAACACTTTATTCATCAGTCTATTCATACAGTCATCCGATTTCACTGTAATATCATTATCTCTAACATTAGTTATGGCTTTCAATTCTCATTCAAATTATAACCTTTTCCTCGAAAAGACAACTTTTCATAATCTTTTCACTCTTTTCGTAGTCTCTCTCTCTCTCTCTCTCTCTCTCTCTCTCTCTCAACACAAAGAATATTCTGCTCTTAAGAGACAACTAATTAAATAAAAAACTTTTTTCTCTCCCCCTCTATACGTCATTAACCAAAAACATTAAAAAATCAATAGCAAAACATTTCTATTAATTAAAAAATATCTAATCAAAAACAATACAAAGTATAAAAACATAATAATTAAAAATCAATTACAAATACTAATCGTAAACTCCATAAGAAATACCTAAATATCAATACATTATTCGTGATTACATGAAACAAAACATTTTTCGTAAACAAGTCGCTAATGATATCTCTTTTATTATCTCTATTTATCCATTTGATTGCCACCGAGAAGTTCATCACCAGATGAAGGAGTCGTTGGTCAGTAGTCATCACCTGAATAACGCCAGTAACGTCTGCCAGTCGTCCCCCTCGACCACCGGTTCCCCAGTGGGCGCCGGGGGTGGCGGTGGTGGACACCACCAGTCCGTCGTCTCATCCGTCGATAATAATAATAAAGACATGAAAATTAGTTTTTGAGTCGATATTCGCAAATCAAAACCGTTTTCAGACAAAACCACATCTCATCCGACAAATGAATTCTCAAAACTACTATTATATATAAAAAGCCATTAGTTTTTAATTCTCTGATTATTCTCTTATAATAGCATAACATATAAAGAATATTCTTTCATCGAAATCATTGCTAAATATGTGTTATTCAATGTTTTTCAATGTGTTTTACGCGAACAGAATATTATTGTGGAAACTAAACACTAAAATAGTTATATATTTGACAACAAAATACACGAAAACTGTTTAAATAACTTTCGAAACAAATAATATTATGTGAAATATATTATTGATATAAATACTACTAAAAAGATGAAATCATAGTTTTTTGTTTTATTTTTGTTATATAAATAGATAGTGTAATGAAATGATAAAAATTACAAATACTTGACACAAAACTTTTTTAGCTATTATTTTAAAAATTCAAAAGCAGAGTAATTTTATTGTGAAATATAAATATAATAAAAACAAAACAAATTATATATTATTATTATTATATTATAAATATATATATATTTATGAAATTACTCGGGGAGCACAGGGAGGCTATTGTAAAAGTGTATGAAAGTGTAGGTACTTGTACCAAGGTGTGTCAGCGAATACAGATAGTATAGTGAGAGTGAGATTTAAATTTTATGAAATATATATATATTTAAATACTGACTAAAAAAACTTGAGATAAAATGACTTTTTAAGAGATGATTAAGATTTAAAAACTGATTTATTGGTTATTATTATTATTATCGATTGAATGATTGATTATATATTAACTTTATTTTTGTACAAAAGATTACACAATATATTGAATCAAAACACTACACAAACACCGGACACACATACCTACAGACATAAATTATATAAATCATCCAGTAGAGTTTGTCATTTGTTATATAAGTGTTGAGAAAACTTATGTATAAATGAGAAATGCATTTACAAAACATTTAACACAGAGTTTACAATAATTTATTTGGTGATGGAGTTATTGAAACCTAAATATTAATTACACATAAAATACAAATACTTTTTATTTGTGAATTACATTAGAGATACAAATTTATAAATATATTATATATACATAAAAACACAAAACATTATTCACAGATAATTATATATTATATTATAAATACTATTACATTGAATCCGAGTAAAACAAATTGAAACGAACCAGATGGTATATATAAATACAGATTATTATATTATTATTATATTATAAATATTATATATATATATAATTTTTAAATAATTAAAAGCTTTTAACTCTCATTATTATTATTATTGATTAATATTATTATTGTTCATAAGATTATAAGAATTCAATGATATTTTTGGCTTTTATTTGAATTTATTATTCTCATTAAAAATTGACTGTTGTTTTACACTTATATCCATTCGTTTTTACTGTTTATTCATTGGTTTTGATAATTGTTTCATAAATTGTTGACAACTTTCCGAGTATTCATCGCAAACTTCTTGGCCACCACCTGATCCAATTGTCTGTCCACACATATTTACCTAGATAACTTAAATATTAAGTGTTGAGTGTATTACTTTGAATTCTTATTTATATTTAAATCTGGTAAATTATAACAGTAATTATAACTATTTGCAATAATTTTCAACGCTATTATACCTGGACTGTACGTAATGTTAAAATCTCATTATAAATACCATAGGATTGTCTCATAAGAGCTTTTCACTCAAATACCTCTAAAGACTTCACGAGTGCCCTGTTTTTCCAAAATGCCTTTTCATACGATAAACACATTGAGTACTATATGTGAAAAGGGACCGGTACCTTTCCATAGAGTAAATCGCGATTTCCACACAGATTTTGATTATATTTGAAATTCATTTGTGACCCATAGCTAGCAAATGAGAACTCATAAAGTAGTCAAAAACTTTTATTTATCATAAAAATTAATAAAAACATATTTAAGTGTACTAATAATTTGTGTGTTTTATTCAAATGTTTACAAATAACTTTTTGTTACAGAATTTTTATTATAACTTCTGGAGTCAAATATAAATCTCATTATAAAAGTAAACGATATTATGAATCAATAGAAAGCATATAAAAATAGTTATGAATAAAAGTGTTAAAATAGTTAAACAATAGTTAAGTCGAGAGTTAGACAGAGATTATGTGTGTATTATAGGACTCATAGACACGTAATAGTGGTTCACATATAAGCCGACAATCATTGTCTCAATTCATGGATGCGTTTGCTATTGAGATGCAGCAAAAGGTCCGGAGCCTTATAGCTCTTAGTCTTAGTGATCCAAATGGATCGCAACTTTCGAGTATTCTTCGCGAACTTCTTGACCACATCCTCATCCAGTTGTCTGCCATCAGTGCAACTGATGACCAGATCCTGTAGTTTCGTTAATCTTGAGATGCGATCCAATGATACGCTGTTTATAACACTATTGATGTCAGAGATGTGAATGAATTTCAAATTCAGAAGATTTGTCTCCAAATGTCGGAACAGGTTGTAGTGATTGTACCATAAGTTTAACGTTAAGTGAGTCAACCCTTTGGGCCAAACACTCACGCAATCAAATGCCCGCCAATTGGTGGCCACTTGGGGCTCGACTTTGAGGTTTAGTTCCAATCGTTTCAATCGCGGCATAAATGGTATGGCATTCAAGACATCGACATTCAGTTGTGGTGTTTGTGAACACATTTGGAGTCGAAATCTCTTGAGTTTCGGACACTTTATGCCGATTTGACGCAAACTTTCACTGATTGAGTACTCGATGGCAACTGAGTTCCTATTGAATAAAAGGTATAATTCCCTCAATTGTGATAATCGCGTGACGCGTGACAGGAATGCGGTGACAATGTCTTGAGAGGCCATCGCTTGCGGTATGTTTGCAATGACCAGACTCTCCAGTGACTGATTGTGTGCCACAACCTCGTCAAACATCTGGACATCAGAGTTGGCGCTCATCCCGAACCCAAACTTAAGAAAGTTCTTCGCCAACAGCTGTTTGTTCGCCGATTTGGTGAAGGCGTGGGACAGGGAGTAGATATACAGTCGACGCAAATTTGGACACAACGGGATCAGCGATCGCCAGCTCCCGAGACCTCGGAGATCCAATTCGGTGATCACTGTTCCCAAGCCGTGGAACAAGTGGTCGACGTTTTCTCTGTCGAAGTGCAAGAAGTTGGCGTATATTCGGCGCAAACTCTTCAGACAATTGTCTCGCAAGTCATCGATGGTCTCCAAAACGCGCGGTTCGTACGCATTGTTAGGTAGGAGTCGACAGTCTATGGACTCAATGTGTGGACACTTCTTAGCGATTGTGGCCATCACTGAGACGTCTAAATAGGTTTCGCCGCAAAGGTTACGCTTTTGTGTCATTTGTGTCATCAGTTTCTCATCGATAGTCAGGTGCCGGACAGTGGTGTACACCAATCGCTGCCACTGTTTGGACAAACATTCACATCGGAACCGGTCTTCGAGTTTCAGATACGACAGTATGAGTCCGCATAAGTCATCACCGAATCTGTCCATCGAGTCTTTGGCATACATTTGCGGCTATTATTGAGATATTAAATAAGTTTTTGATTAAAACTCGTGTTTATTATCACTATATCTTGTGATCACCTCTTGATTGTCCACTTGAACCACAACTTCGATGACTTCGAGTTTGATTTTCTTCGGAGTATTCATTCTTTGGATCCGTTTCAGTGATAGTTTGTGTCCACTCTTATAGCCAGTACTGAATGAATGAATGTTTTGATTGTTTTCGTATTATCTGTAATGAAATGACAATTAATGTATGTTTTGTATAAAAAGTGATGTATTTATCAAATGACTTACACTTTCATTGAGTGTTAAATTGCAATCAAATGTGTGTTAATTGTCCACAAAATGAATGTTTATTAGAAAACAGGTCTAAAAACATGTGGTTTTAGCGCTGAAACCAGTTTTAAATGTTTACTAAAAATAGATTACGTTTTGTATTACTGTTTGAAAAGTTTTAGTTTATTTTGGTTTATGTTATGATAATCACATTAAATGATTGCATTTTATAATTATAATTAAATATCATTATTATAGACTAAACATTGTTTGAAATCTATTATTTGGCTTTTAGTTGAATTACTATTTTCATTGAAAACTGACTTTTATTTAACACTTAAATGCAAAAGTGTTTTATTCATTGGTTATAAAGTTCTATAAATTACTACCATTTTTGTGATGAAATATAAATCTCAATATAATCTAAAAGTGAATTAACATGAAATCAATAATAATAATGTGTTTATGACTAGTGTTTCACAAATTGTTGAATAAGTAGTAAATTATTGAATGAAAATGTATTACAATATATCGACTAAAAGGTGTGATTAAGTGGTGAATAGGGGAAGGGTAGACCAAAATCGGCGGGCAATCAAAGGTCATTGTCATCGGTTGTCTCTGAATCCATGTCTCAATTCATGGATACGTCTGCCATCGAAACGAAGCAAAAGGTCTTCCGTAATGGACGTCGTCTTACTGATGATAACTGATGTCAACTTTGGACTACTATTCCTCACGAACTTCTTGACCGCATTTTTTGCCAGATATTTGCCAATCGTTTCTGTAATAATCAGTTTCTGTAGTTTCTGTTGTCTTGAGATGCGATCCAATGATACGCTGTTTATAACACTATTTCGATCAGAAATGTCGAGAAATTGTAAGTTTCGTAGATTTTTCTCCAACTTTTGGAACAGTTTGTAGTGAATGAGCCATAAATCCAATGACAAGTGAGTCAACCCTTTGGGCCAATCACTCAGTGAATCAAATGCGTGCCAATCGGTGACCACCGGAGGGTCGGCTTCATATGACCTCAGTTTTAGATCCAATCGTTTCAATCGCGGCATAAATGGTATGGCATTCAAGACATCGACATACAGTTCATGTGTTTGTGAATGCATTTCAAGTCGAAATCTCTAGAGTTTCGGACACTTTATCCCAATTTCACGCAAACTATCACCGATTGAGTACTCAATGCCATTAGAATAACCAACGAATTCGAGATCCAAATCAAGCAATTGTGGTAAATGTGTGACAACAGTCAGGAATGC